GCCCATGTCGTCACACAGACTTTGAAGATTACTGGTTTGGGATGGGGTTTTGTGTACCTTCCAAGTTACAAGACGCAGAGCATGCCAGTTTGACATTGCGGGCGTCTTGATTGCTTCCAGATTTGGTATGGGCTACAGTCTCAACATGCTGATCACAAAAGTAATTGGGTTTCAGATGGGATTTCGCGTAGCTTTCGACTTAAGACCGTAGTATCAGCCTTATTCCTCGGAAAAAAAACAGGAGAATGGAGGTATAGTAGGGTTAATATTTTGGCAACATGCCTTTCTCGAAACAACAGCAGAAGTGAATTCACTCCTCCTGGTTTTTCCGAGGAACAAGGCTAATTCTACCATCTTATCTGTGTGACCAATGTTCCCCGCTAATGCACTGAGCAACTAACTTTCGACTTATAAAACGCCCAACGTGCCAACTTGATACTGCGAGACGTCGTTGTGGGAGTCCTCTCGACAGCTGATTCCGAAAACGGTGTTTTTTGGGGGGAGGGGGGGGATTGCATAACTTCCGTGTTACAGGACGTGTAACGTGCCAGTTTGGTACTGCGAAACGTCTCGATCGCTTCCAAATTTGGTGTGCAGAGCGTTCTCAACACACTGGTTCCAAGAGTCATGAGCAGGGTAATCAAAAATGAAGTCCACACTTAAAGTGTCTGTAGAGTTTCAGAATTTTGAAACTTAAAAAGATTGTCCGATTTCATTTTGAAAACTGGTGTGACGGGTATAGATACCTTACATTTTGGGGGGCAGCCTATATCGTGTTGCAAATTAGTATGTTTCTTATCTTATTTGATGATGCTCTTTTTTAAATGACTTAGTTCTGTAAATGAACAAGGTATTGATGGAGCACACCAAAAAATACGATATTTTTGAACTATGACATATACAGTCTCTAAGAAATGGCATTGATAGAAATGACATCAATGTTAATGTCTCAGCCGAACCTGATAAACTCATCGCTCACCAAGTTGCGATTCGTTACCACTCACCATCCGACTACGCTGTCGCCGCCGATCTCAGTGATAGTCAAGCTCAGCTGACATCATTGCGAATTGCGGCGTGTGCACGAAATGCTATGAAACACTGCACTTACCCGCGAGCATTTTCTTGCCTTTGATTTGAGTCTTGTAAAGGAGTGCAGTGAGGAGATTGGTAATCGGGCTATTGGCCAAAGTGAAGCGATATTTTGCTTTTTTCGTCGAAAATATGTGTACATTATTTTTTGACAGGTTTTGGACGATAGCTGGTCCATCCTTGTGGTTTGGATTGGAGTTTGGACAAACAATTTGTGGCTAACGGCACCCCCGGTCAGCACATTTAGCCCCGTTTCACACAAATGCAAAGTGAGCGTGCCCGCTGCCACTGCTTCGGACTCTCAGGATATTACTGAAATGTGTCTATGAATCATTGAATAGCCGAATGCTCTGGGACTTCAATCAAGCGGAAAATTGGCTTTTGTTCAAGTCGTAATCGTCAAATCTGGGAGGCAACAGCCACGGTCAGGTGGTGGCCGGGGCAGAACTGCCACGGCCGGGCATGTCAGTTACCCCCGGATGGGTGTCAGTTACCACCGGGCAGGTGTTAGTTACCACCGGGCAGGTGTCAGTTACCCCCGGATGGGTGTCAGCTGCCACCGGATGGGCGTCAGCTACCACCGGGCAGGTGTTAGTTACCACCGGGCAGGTGTCAGTTACCCCCCGGATGGGTGTCAGCTGCCACCGGATGGGTGTCCAGCTACCACCGGGCAGGTGTTAGTTACCACCGGGCAGGTGTCAGTTACCCCCGGATGGGTGTCAGCTGCCATCGGATGGGTGTCAGCTACCACCGGGCAGGCGTTAGTCGCCACCGGGCAGGTGTCGGTTACCTCCCAGCAGGTGCAATAACCACCGGGTAGGTGTTTGTCACCACCGGGCAGGTGTCAGCCACCACCGGGCAGGTGTCAGTCATAGCCGGGCAGATGTTAGTCACCCCCGGGTGGGTGTTGGTCACCACTAGGTAGGTGTTAGTCACCACCGGGCAGGTACTAGTCACCACCGGGCAGGTGTCAGTCATAACCGGGCAGGTGCAGTCACCACCGGGCAGGTGTTAGTCACCACCGGGTAGGTGTCAGTCAACGGACAGGTGCCACTCACCACCTGGCAGGTTCAGTTACCACCGGGCAGGCGTCAGTCACCACCGGGCAGGTGTCAGTCACCACCGGGCAGATGTGGCCACGGCAGAGGAGGGCGACCGTAAGAGACGGGCAGTTGCAGTCGGGCAGGGGTCGTGCCGTGAATGGGCAGTGGAAGTCACGGACGCGGAGAAGCTACGGCTGGGTGTGGACTGGCGCGAGCTGACGCAAGGGAATGTCAAAATATCCAGAAATGCCGAGACTTGTCCAAAAATTAAGACCGTCAGGCGCGTGTCCAATGTCTGAAACGGTGCGGGATGCGAGAAACCGAATACACCGGTGGCGAGTG